AATATGTAACTGTAATTGATATGATAAGAAAATCGGATTGCTTAAGAAATGAATTGCAAATTACGAGTATCTGTATTGTGTAATAGACAAATAACCTGACTAACAAAGAGAGGAGAAGTGGAAATTAATAAAAGCCATTCAGTTGGAAAATACATTTAAATTGCATTCGTAGTGAGTTTCTAAATTTAATAAATGACTATTATTTTTATTATTTGTGGTTGTTGTTGTTGTTGTTGTTGGTGGTTTTGTCGCTGTTGTTACTGATGCACTGTAATTATTTTGACGGTTGGTTTTGACGCTTTAAAGCAAAGCAGTGGTTCCTAACTTTTTTTTGACCAAGGACCACTGTGATATTTTTGTTTTTAGTAGGGAGCACAAAGTTTTAGAATAATAAACTGTATGATTAATTTAATGTGCTTTATGCATCTCTGCTAGAATGTATAATGAATTGTATAAGTACATAGGTACATTATATTTACTTGGATATTTTTTGGACATATTTTCCGAGGTCTGAGTAGACAAACTACAAGCAATGTATCCATACATTGTTAAATTTGTTCACGGACTATTTTTAACCATCTTGCGGACCACCGGTTGGGAACCACTGCTTTAGAGTCATGTATATTAGCACTTCATTTCCGAATTGGTTTACTTAAATGTTAACTCAATAAATACGAAAAGCGTTAAATAAAGCAAAAGCAAAAGCAAAAGCAAAAGTAAAACCAAAAGTAAAACAAAAATAAAAACAAAAGTAAAAACAAAAGTAAAAACAAATACAATTGGAAAAAAAGTTTCACTAAAAGCGATGCGCCAGCGAAACCACAACTAACAGGTGTGCGGAGGTAGAGGAAGTGAGCTCCCAAAATTATATGTGTGTGCAGAATTTTGCATACAAATGAAATTATTTTAAGTAAAATGAAGGTAAAAAAATATTTAATTTTTATAAAAAGTAAACTAAAACGAAACTTAAAGCAAATTATTCGTGACCGGATTTCTAAAGAGCAGTAATTTTAAAATTTTAAAATTTCAAAAGTTCAAACCTCAGTCAACTTATAAATTGAAAAATAGTTATAAACCAAAATAAAGTTTATAGTTGCTTTAAAAAGTAATGAAACAGATTAAGACCTAAGTAAAGAATAAAATTTAAAAGAAAATTTGTTTTTACAATCGAACTACTTTGAGAAAAAATGCAATTTATCAATATTAATTTTTACACTGTCAGGCATTACAGCCGAGATAGCTTAAAAGACTAGTACGACATCGTGGCAGGTGACGAATCATAGATCTACGCCTATATGTCGGATGGAGCAAACCCAACCAAAGATGCAAGTTTTTTCAGAAAAACCGGTCATGTCGCAACTGTGTCACTTAAGTAACGCAGAGTGGTTAATTTTGAGTGGTACATAATCATTTGTGTGCTGGAAGTCTTCAGAGAATTGAGAAAAACCAAACGTCGATAGAAGATTATCCTCCACCACGACAATGTAATCTCCAATACATCAGCTCAAACAAAAGAGTTTTTGAGCACTTAAAACTTTGAACACTTATATGGATACATACAGTTTCTACTTGGCACCTAATAGTTTCTACTTGTTCCCAAACATTAAAAAAAGTGCGTGGCGAGCGTTTTTCTAAGCCCGAAAAGGTCGTTGAGACATTTAAGGCCCTGCTTTTGGAGACACCAACTTCAGAGAGTGAAAACTATTCAAAAAAGTGGTTAAATCGAATGCAAAATGTATTGATCATCACGGAGAATATTTTGAAAAACAATAGAACCATATTTACTGATTAAGTACAGGATTTTTATTCGTAAGCGTAAAACTTAAAAGCCATTAAACAATGACCGGCACGTTTTTACCGACTGTGATGTGATGATTAATGATTTAATTGAATACATAAACTACTTGCATCATCTTTGCCTCGAGTAGTACTTATGAGTATCACATAAGAAAAGTATTATAAGCCATTATAAGTATTTGCAGTTTCATGTATGAATCAGGTAGAGTTGAGTATATAAAACAGAGAGTCAGAGTAAGTAAAAGTAAAATACAGCCAATGACTCGAGTATGTCTACAGTGAGAGACAGTAGATAAATTTGAACTAATTTACGTATACAAATGTACCAGTGGAATTAGTTTTGTAAATGCTGGCTACGAATTGTTCGTTTCACAACACTTTATTTTGTGTCTAAGGTGGCAGATATAACCGCCATCTGTTGACATCCAAATACTAAGCAAAGATCTAACGTAAAATCATTTGTATTAAGTAAAGAAACATTTTCAAAGACCGTATAATGTAATACGGTCTCTGCTTATTGTTTAGAATAAAACACAATTTATAGCACGTATCTGGCATAAATCAAAAGAAATCAAATCGGGTATTTTGTTTAATTGTCTAAATTAATTAATCGTTTAATGTTTACTTAAACAGAACATTTAGCTTTATTGTTTTTCTTAATTTTATTTAATGTTAAAACCAATTACTCTGACATAAGCTTATTAGAACAGTTATGTCAAATTTAATGAAGAATTATACGGCTCCAAATATTTCGTAGTACACACTTAGTGTAAGAAAAATACATCTGGCATTTTAAATTAATCAAGTATTAAATTAATGAAGAATTGAAAATAATTTGCAACAATAATTGCATGAAATTTATTGACATTAGAATATTAATTAATGCCACTTATTGAAATAAATATCATTTTTTCTAATAAGTACTATTTATTGAAATAAATACTGTTTATTCGAATAAGTACTATTTATTTGAATAAATACCATTTATTGGAATAAATACTATTTATTGGAATAAATACTATTTATTGGAATAAATACTATTTATTGGAATAAATACTATTTATTGGAATAAATACTATTTATTGGAATAAATACTACTTATTCGAATAAATACTATTTATTTGAATAAATACTATTTATTTGAATAAATACTATTTGTTGGAATAAATACTATTTATTGGAATAAATACTATTTATTGGAATAAATACTATTTATTGAAATAAATACTATTTATCGGAATAAATACTATTTATTGGAATAAATACTATTTATTGGTATAAATACTATTTATTGGAATAAATACTATTTATTGGAATAAATACAACTTATTGAAATAAATACTATTTATTGGAATAAATACTGTTTATTGGAATACTATTTATTATTAATTAATTATTTATCATTAATGGAAGAAATACCACCAATTGCAATTAAGGGTGCAGTTTGAACGAGCGTCGAAATCCACACTTTTGTGTTCGACATTTCAGTGTGCATCGCAAAACTGGTCCTCCATAAGTTATATATTTCATTTTTTTTGAACAAAAATTAAGTAAAATTAAAAGTGTGGACATTGTGGGCAAATTTGAAAGCAATTAGGAAGAGTTGTACAGAAAAATCAAATGAATCCTTGAAGGGAGAAGACCTATCAATAAGCTTAGATGACTTTCCGTGCCGAAACTCATAACACTAAAAATTTAATCATTTAACAAATCTATATATAAACGTTATATACCCTCAGGAAAATGCTCTAAAACCTATTAATATTAACGATATAAGTACTTAAAAATAAACATCGTCAGTAAAAATGTTACCGTAAATAAATGATCATTAACTTGCTAAATAACGAAGTTAATACATTTGACTCGAGTGACTGGTTATTGGTTATCGTATACGAAACATTGTATGATGACTAATTAGTTCTCTTTCTGGTTCAGTTATAAAGATAAAAAAAAGCTGGTTTGCAACCCGAAATTTGCAAAGAAAAATCTTTGCCAGTGTTGGGGTAAACAATCTACTGTGACTGCCTTGAAGGATCACGAAGTATATGTGTGTATTGATTTTATAAAAAAAATATTTTAAATATGTACGTGCAAGTTTATTTTCTTAAAAACAACGGCATTTTAAAGACGTACATATTTATTTTCATGAAAAAAAAACGTATTTAATATACTTACATAGACCTCTTCAACAAGAGAGATGAAAATTAAGAACCATAAGGAAGTAGACTTATCTATTTCTATTATTTTGAAAAAAATTACATTTTATATAATTCACGTTATTATATATATATTTTAAGGATGGTACGACACCACTGATACTTTCTTCTGCTGGAGGCCATACGCCTTGTGTATTAGAATTACTTGAGCAAGGCGCTGATGCGAATTCAAGACGTACTACTGGCACAACACCATTATTCTTTGCAGCTCAAGGCGGCTACTTGGACGTTATAAAAATTTTAGTAAAGGCAGGCGCAAGTGTGGACACACCATCTGTGGTAAGCTACATAACGATATGATTTTTGAATTATATGATAATATGATTTTTTTGTTGTATAAAATTCACAGGATGGTGGCACACCATTATTTGTAGCAGCTCAAGGCGGTCATGTGAAACTTGTAAAGGAACTTTTGGATTGTGGTGCCAATGTAAATGCTTGTATGAAAGTATGTAGATATGTAGAGAAAGTCGACCATTTAGATAATATTGTAGTTTCATGCAAATATTGTTTTAAGGATCGAGCAACATCAGTTTTTATTGCCGCACAAAATGGACACCGCACGGTATTGTCATTGTTACTAACAGCTGGAGCACATGCCGATATGAAGCGCATCGATGGAGCAACTCCACTTTGGATTGCAGCACAAATGGGTCATGATCATATATGCAAGGTGTTATTGCAAAATGGTGCAAATATAGATGCAGTACGATGTGATGGAGCAACACCTTTATTTAAGGCTGCACATAAAGGGCATGCGGCCGTTATTACAGAACTACTGAAACATCGTCCAAATTTAGGTTTATTACCAGTAAATTTAATGAAATTATATATGAGACATGATTTGTTAAATATATTACTTACATTTATAGAACGGCGAAACAGCATTACATGCTGCTGCCATGTTTGGACATCTCACTGTGTGTAAGCAACTTATAGCCGCCGGTAGTGATATACTTCAAAAGAATCAGGATGGCTTTACTGCATTACAGGTAGCAAGGCAACAAAAATATACCTCAATATGTGAATATCTGCAGGATCGATTGCGAATTATCTTAGCACGCACCGCAGAGGCTAAGTCGTAGAGTTACACTATCAGTTAATAAGAATAGATAATAAATACAGAGAGAGAGAGAGAGAGAGAGAGAGAGAGAGAGAAAGAAAGAGTGAGAGAGAGGGAGAGTGAGAGAAAGAGAGATGCATGCAATGGAGAACAATCGTTCATATACAATAAATACTAAAAGGTCAGATAAAGCACAATTTATTATTAAAACGTCCCTAAAAGCAACATAAAGGCTGCACGCGAATGAATTTCGAGTCCTAGCTTCTTATATTTAAATTAAATACAAGTCCAAAATATTAGCTTAACTCCAATTCTAATTCGAATATATTACATATAAATACATCCGAGTATATATATATATATTTTGAAATATCTTTTTATTGACTTATTTTAAAATAGTAATGCATATAAGCAAATCGTAAGAGCTAAGAGCTGCGATGAGTATATAAAATCAAATTTAATAAAATTAAATTTTTTTCCCTTTAATTCCTAAACTTAAAATTGTAAATAAAAAAGAAACATTGTTATTTCCTTTTATAATATACATATATACACATGCATATATAAATATGTACTTCCACAATATTTATATATCGATGTATATATAGTATATAGTTAACATTTATGCAATTGTTGATTGATACAATATTTATATATTATCGTACTTTTTATACCTTAGTAAAATTTATAACTATTGTATAAATATATAAAAATATTGTGATTCAAGTTAAATAAATATATAGCAAATGTATATCCTAGGTTTGACCTGAAATCTAAATCAAATAACTAAGTCTTTAATAAATAAATATCATATTTTGGAAAAAGATTTTATGATTTTCATATAAAATATAGAGAATAAAAATGAGAATGAAAAAGAGTGAGTTCGTAAGAAGATTGAAAAGAATTTACAGGGATGTTGAGCATTGCAACTGCCATGCTTACTGCAACTATTTTTTTCTTATTAGAAAAAACTTTACGAGAAACAGGCGACTTAAGGAATCTATGTACCTATGTGAATTAAGCTATCAATGAAGAGCGTCTCCTAAGATAATCTGAATAAATAATGGCTATATACTAATCTAACAACATTTCTTGGTTTGAGATCGTACACCTCATTCAGTTGAATGAACTCCATTAGGTGATACTAAGAGCATAAAAGGTAAGCAAAAGTTCTACTACGGGCATTGATTTCCACTTAAACTAACACTACTTTTGATTGCGTGGTTAAATTTCTACAGCGAAAATATTGAGAATATTATAGCAAACTCACGTCGTCCAGATTTGGTCCCAAAAAATACAAGAAAAATAAACAATTAAAAAATGGTTAGGAAAGATTGAAGATAAAAAATGACGAAGATGATGAAGAATACGTCAATCAAGTCCAAGACTTGGTACTTAAAAATCGTTGATGGAAAATTACAGACTTTAGTGATACTGGTAACATTTCATTTGTCTTTGATAATGGTTACTTAAAATTTTAAAAAATGTTTTATGTGTCAAAAAAGTGAAATCTAGCTTGGCTCCAAAAATACTCAATTTTTTCAGCAAAGAGTGTCGCATTGAAGTTTGTCAAACAATGTTTTCTGACTACCAGGATAAGATGAAATACATTATGGCTTGAGGTATGACTTGGATCTTGACATACCACTCGGAAATAAATGACTCATCGAGCGAAAATTGTGCGAAAGGTGAGTCAAAATCGCGCTACGGTATATAAAAACTAAAATCATGTCAACAGTTTTTTTACAATGATCGTGTTAAGGTACATTATGAATACTTACCGGCGAGTCAAATCACAAAAATCAAATTAAGACGGTCAAAAGTAATGTTGCATTCTCAAGATAAATTATTTGGAATTCATTAAATATTTCCAGACTCTTAACGTTATTCCGAAATCCATAAAAAATTCAAACCGAATCTATTGCTGCAATGGACGGTAGAATTCGTACCAATTCATTGTTGAATGAGTTATGCGTCCTCTTATTAGGATGAATTATGTTGAGTGCTTGCTGTGAAATTTTAAATTATATGTCATAATACTATGCCAAGTCAAGTGGTATTTTTTATCAAAAATTTTTTCCATCCTGCCAACTAAGCGAATTATTGTTAGTCCCTCCATATGACTACGTTCTTGCATATTCCATATTTTAAAAGTATCGCGAATGGCTCTTGTGGCACCGTTTCACATCTCAAGTTTGGGGTTAATAACTCTACAGAGTCTTAAGAAAACTGCTTTCATATGTTTTTAAGTTATAGAGAATATATATTTCTTAGCTTATTTTTATTTAAATGCTAAAAACTTTTTTTTATTATCCAAATTATCCCAATTAATACACAATTGAAGTATTCTTAATCAAAGTATAGAAGAAATCTTAACATATTTTACGATGAGACAATTTAGTTAAGTCGCACTTTGGATGAGACTTGGATTCTGCTATGTCTCAAAATTAAACTTATGGTAGAGGCTATGGTTTCGCGTGAACCCAGAAAAGGTTTTGAGAAATTACATTCAAAACAGTAAAACAATAAACTTAGATTAATATTAGAAAATTACGACAAATGGATTTAGAAATTCTTAAGTAAGGCCTGGTTTAGAAAAGAAAAAAATAGTTTTCCATCAAGATTAGTTTTCCTGCTAATTTAATTAAAAGGTGTGGAATCTACCATATATTGTTCTATATATTGTTCTATCTATATTGTGTTGAAGAATTTCGATTTGATACCCAATATTTGTATTCCATTATTGAGTAATGAAAGACTAGCACAAACTTTTTTGTGTTGCGATAATATTTCGAAGGTAAATAGTCAGCCTAAAATAGATAAGCCAACCTTAATAAAGTCAGTACTTCAGTTACTTTTTATCAATTAATTAATCTTAATTTTGTCACGATAGCAAACGAAATCGATCATGTGAAAATTATGTACGGAAAATATACCAATAATAGTAAAATTATTACAAGAATTTATTTTATTCGGGTTAAGGTCACTGAATTTCAAATAAAAGCAATTACGAGAGAAACTCTATATATATACATATAGATATATATGTAAACATATACATTTTCATATGTTTGTTAGGTAGAATTAATTTATAATACATACATTATGTTTACATATCGCTTGAGACTATTACCGATTTAACAATTTCATTAATATGTTATTCTATTTAAATTTTGAAATATGTATTAATATATTGATGTTAATTTTAATTAATTTGTTAATTAATTAAGTTTAGTCAGTTTTGTGAAGGTTGTGATGACACTTAGTATTATGACGATCACTCTGAAACGCTTACAATGAATAAATATCACTTTCAATCTACACAACATCAGGAAAGTTAAGGAAATATCCTTACATTGATCACTGTGTGACTTGTTGGGACACCAAAAAGCGTAGTCTTTCGAATTTTGTACAAAGATTTAAGCGACTGAAAGGTTTATATGCCCTTCATACTATAAACCATGACGGCAACCTTATTGTTATAGGTAATACTAAACTCTCTTAGTAGTATTATAATACACGTAAATTTAGTCTGTAAGAAGCTGTTTAATAAAGAACACCATAATTATAAAAACTGTCTCACAGATTTAAAGAGATATATGTCACTGGTATAGGTTTCATCCCACATTTTCTGGCCGGAGCAACAGTTTGTTAATCACAAAGTAATGGATAACTACTTCCTCCTTAGTGTGAACTCTTATTCAGCACTTATTCATTCGGTCAACAGCTCTTAAATAGGGTTGTGTAGGTCAGATAATTGTGTTGCGACAGTTTTTTTATTCCGATGGAGTCTTACCATCGCATCTTCTAAACTGCTAAATGTCCTATGTCACATTTTATGTGGACATCAAAGATTCGTTCCAAGATGAACTGATGGGTTAAAAATAATTTGGTGTGTACTGAGATCATTTTCATGGTTCTCCAAATTTTTGGTATATATAATAGCATTAGATATTGTGACTAATCACCAGTGGCTTTCAGTGAATGAAAAAGGCTGTTAGTGATAATTTTGCCATTAGCCATTTTTTTGCCCACCCCTGCGTAGTGGATATAAAAAGATGTAAGAAGTTCGTTGCACGTTGAAAGGTTTTGTTTGTCTGTTTACTACCTTTTCTAACTCAGAAACTGATTCTACCAGTTTATTTGATAAATCAGGATGGCGGTTTTATACCTTGTCTTGCTGTTCAGGGAGAAGACATCGTACTAATACACAAACAATTAGATTTCAAATAACAAAATCTGCGGATTAAAAAACAATAACTGCAAAGTAAGTCCATGTATTTCAGTAAGAATCATTTTCAATGCAATTTTCATCCTATTGAATAGTGATGAAGATACCGCGGCAATAAGAATAGAACTCAATGGCGTCCTATAACTCAGAAATCGATTTTACCTTATTATGTCGTAAAACAGAAAAATGATTTTTCAGTGTCAAAATATGTATTTATCCCAATTTACTCTTCGCTTATTTTGAGAAGAACGATTTGTTTTCTTTAGAGTAGGTTTAAAGTGTATTATTCGCAATTTATTCTTCGCTTATTTAGACACTTACGAATTTGGTATATTGACGATGGAAAAGAGTCATCCAACAAGAGTTATCCAACATTATCCAAATGGGCGCGTTGAGACGATATTTAAGACTAAATATTGATTCGATGGCATCTGAATATGACAACTTGAGGTCAATACGCCGATATAGTTTGCTTCTTCAGATAAAGAACTTTAAAGTTGTGGGCTTCTACATGGATTATACCAACAAAAACTACAAATTCACTCCAGTGGCAACTAGTACATGCGAACGTTTTATTGATTCCAAGAGTCCTACAAGTACATGAGCTGATGTGTTAGTGTTTTATAAAGAAATATTTGTTACTTGAAAGCCCGAAAATATACCGAGAACCAAACTATATTGGCAGATAACGTAATGAGAAAAGTTGCTAATATTGATATTGATATATAAAAATATCTATATAAATTACAACCTTATAACCTGCCGGTTAGACCTATGTGTTACATTCATCCAATGTGTTTAAATTATTTTCGATTGGATAACTATAATTTTACTTTCAGATTCTTAAAATAAAAAGTTTTTTAAAAACAATTTATAATGATTAAGGATTTATTTGCAATAAAGCTTTACAGTTTACATTCAATTTTGGGAAATAAAAATGGGTAATGAAAATTGTTGTCCAGGTGACAGGAATTTCAATTATTCGCCAAATTAAATTCAGATATTGGATACGATTTTATAAAATACTTATATCATATCACGTTTTATTTTCCGAAAGAAAATAATTTGTTCAGATTTAAAATTAATACTATAATTTTTTATGAAATTTTGATCTTCTTGGTCCTTCGGTACTTGTTGCAATTGGTTGCTTTCCGATTTCTAGTCTTTTGAATATTTATATATTCAATTTCACCCGTATAACACTGGCTCTCAGGGTCTAACAAAACTTTTATTTTTGCTGTAGTTATATTTATTTCATCATTAATGGATTGACAAACGCGATCATTATTTACTTCAGTACTCTCGCGAACCTTTAAAGCATTTGGGTTTTCCTTGTTGTTTCCCTTGGTGTTCTCACATTCCTTTTCTTGCTTCCCTCCTCCCTTCCCTTCACGCTTATTTTTACGCTTTGTTTTACCCACCACTTTCCCTTTCTTTTTATACTTTCCCACTTGCCTTCGTGAACGTTCCTCGTCACCCTTGCTTTCACATTCACCTTTTTGTATCTCTTCGTGTTTATCCTTTTTTATAACTTTAGTTATTTGAGTCGGACGACTTTTTTGTATTCCCTTCTTTCGGTTCTTTTTCTTGCCTTTTTTATAATTCGAAATTGGAATAATAATCCTATTTCGCAAGTTCTTAGAAAAGTTTACTTCTTGTTCCTCTGGTATTTCATTCGTTTCGTCTAAGTAACGTTTTGCATATTCTTGTTGATCCAAACTTCGATTTCTTAATTTTGCCTTGTAGTCAGTCGAGTAGGTCACTTGCGTTATTTCTTTATTTGGTTTAGGATCCTTGCATGAGCAGTATTCACAGGTTTTGGCATTTTCTTTCTTCTCGTCTGATAAACGTCTTCGTTTGGTTGTGAGCACAATATCAGAACCACGTATCAATTTTCTTTTCCTGGTGGTTTTTTTACCATCACAGGAGACCTTACGTTTTTTGTACGGAGCGCATTCAGTCGATAATGTTGTCTGTGAATTCATATTCACATTTCCGAAGTCAGTTTTTTGGCTCTTACATCTTTTGCTTTTTTCTATAGGCATCTTGGGATCTACGATATAAATAGAGGATAAATTAGAAATAATGTGATTAGATTTTAATATATAGTACTAGATTATTTATTTGTTACAATACTCGTAAATGATAATTTGATATAATTTTCAATTGTCTTAAATAAGCTGAAATCTTTACTGGTCAATCTTTATCCATTTATAAACAATGGATTTTGTTTATATATTTATACTATATAATGTATAAATATATAGTATATAAAGTTAGTAGTACATGGATTTATCAAGCAAATTTATTTAGTTCCCATTAAAGTTAGTCTATTGCTACTTACTTGATAAGAACTTTAGGTCTGAAATGAGTATATTCTAAACTCACAGAAGCTTCAGCGTTGTGCAGATAAGGACATTCTAGGTTTCAGGGTTCTCAGATCAGGACTCTCTTAAAATGAACTTCACAAAATACGATTTTAGGAATCGTAAATTATTCAGTGCTAAAAAAATATGTATTTTGGATAAAAATTATTTTTATTTGAGTTGAAGTATCAAAATAAAATAAGTATATAAGCAATGTGTGCTGTGATTGAATAAAAATAATTCATTACTTTTAAAACACAACATTAAATTAATTTGTTATCCGATAAGTTTCCAAAAAAAAATTTCAATTTTTTATTAAATAACGATGAATATTTCTTTGACAACCAATACCAAATGAACAAATGAATACCAAATACCTTGAATACTTAACATGGATTTGATGAAGGTGGTCTGTTACTTATATATATAATGATGTAGCTTATGCGAATGTGTCTTAACAAAATATTATAATTACACAATACCATAAGGAAATCGTTTTCTTACTACCACAATACCAAAATAATCCTAATTTATCAGGAACAAAGTTCTATCCATAATAGAGACACTTTAGTAAAGAGCTACATAACTCTTTACTAAAGTAAAGACTAAAGTAAAGAGTTATGTGTAAAATATGATTTCAAATATTTCAAAAATTATTCGAAACTTAAATCTCAGAATATAATGGAGTGCAACGCGAATAGATGAGTTATAATACGCGGAGAAGATAACTCACAGGCACCGCCTAAAAAGGAATAATCATAATTAGTCGTAGTTTGAAAATATTTAAATTGGAAGGATTATATAAAATTATTTGTGTGTTTGTAAATAAATAAATATTCTTTTAATTACTTACAATAATTCGATTCTAAGCCTTCGAACAAGATTTCTAACGAATTAAAGTAAAAATTTCGAGTTAATGGTAGAACTTACTTTATAAAAATAAAAACTTTTGCCTTAAAAAAAAATTTTCCAGAGATAACTTTCTGAAACGAATAAACTTCAAATAAAAAATAAATGATTTGAACTGAATTTTGTTTAATAAGAAACTTAATTATACCTAAAAGCAATGCACACTTTTCTTTAATGTCATTATGGAATGTAATATTTTAGGGGCATAGAAAATATATGAGGAATGAACACGGCAATTTGACGGTCTTGCTGGTCATCGAAATAGTCATTTTTAATTATATATTTTTTGGTTGTGCCGAATGCCGTTTTCGATTGGTAAATCTGGAGTAAATTTTTCAATCGAGATTCACTTTTAGCGAATTTTCATTTTCGATTGTTAAATCTCGAACGAAATGTATAACACTTGAGATTAATTTACCTATAACACTCTAGATAATTTGCCAGAGTAGTAAAATTACTCTGAACTGAAAAGCTTTTTTATATGGCTTGACAGATAAAATATGATTTGATTCGACATACGTATTTATGAAAAACGTTAACGTAATATTAGTAATGAATACAAAAATACTAGATTACTTTAAAAACGTTCGATTGGGCTACAAAATTGAACAGATCGAGAATAAATCTAGATTGAATCTAGATTTACGAATCAAAAATGCCACACATTTAAATGATAATTATTTCTGTATAGATATGTGAGTATATTCAGACAAAAATATACGTAAAATGCATAAATTTTGAAATTTATAATCGCTCAAAACTGTTTTGACCAACTTGACCAACTTAACCAACTTTTATGGTTCACATAAAGCGTTGTCACTGTGACCTTTTTCTTTCGTTCTCAATATTTTAATTTACATTGAATACAACAATTCTGTGTTTGACGAGAACATGACTGTCTGCATTACATGGCCCAGAGTATTGATACACCCAATATTAGAAATATTATATTTAAGTAATAATCATTAGGTTTTACAAAGTCGATATAGTAAATTAATAAATAATTCTATAGGTGTTACTTGTTGAGAAATCATTTGTCGTCAATTATATATAAATTCAGAGCACTGATTACTTAATGCAATCGGTGATGGAAAGCCATATCTGCACTTTTCCGTAACAATTGCATGCAATACTTGATTTCGTACTAAGTTGACAATTACTTGATATTATGATCTTCAGATGCATATGATCAAATGCGACATCGCAGATAGCAGACTCACTTTTAATGCTTCCTCATCGTGCAACTTGAAACTCTTGTACAACTTGTACTTTGGTTTCTTATAGTGAAGTACAGACGAGTATCTGTACGTTCATTCACTAATGATGATGCCGTAATAAGCAAAAGTTCACGACTTATTACTGTGCGAAACTAAAAACTAAAATAAATGAAAAGAAAAACTTTGAGACTTTGGGGATTAATTAATTACTATTTAGTTATTTGAATATAAAATTCAGTAATTAAATTGAAGTAAACAATCGAATACGTTTAAAGTATCTTAAAAAAATTTTATGTAAGTTGGAATTAATAGTAACATTTTTAACATTCTTAATATAAGTATTACTTAAGTACTACTCCTAAAACTCGAACTGTCTCTCAGAAGTTTTGATGCATTGAGAACACAGTAAGTTCAATGAACCCTATAACATAATAGTGGTTCAAACTAATCTTAAAAACTTGTTTGAATTAAAAAAATTTCTAGTAAACATTAAGGAAGTTTATGATGTTTTATTAAGTAAAATATCGCCCTTTAAATACGTGTTCGATTGATATAATAGGATTAGTGTTGCTAGATATATGGATACCAACATCATCTAATGACAAGAAACCGCAAATACTCCTTATATTACTCCATATGTGAATCTAAATTTAAGTATTGATTTTAACGCGAAAATACCTTTCTCCATTTTATGAAACGTTAAAACTATTACACCCATTCAACCATAAAGTGACAGATCAAGATTACTTCTAGTAATAATAATGGTGCAATATTGCACTATGATATCAATAAAATCAGTATCGAAAATAATAATAATAGCTAATAATAATAATAATAATAGCTATTCCATGAAGGCACAATTTTTATTTGCTTCACCTATATACAGGCCACATAAATGTCACATTAGCATCCACAAATAATCACTAAATGGTATTGTATTTGCTTATATTTGATCTGGTAGTGTAAAGGGTCCACACTTATTTGGAAATTATGCAGATGTAACTCAAAGCTTTAATTGTAAACTTCATAGTCACATTATTAACAATTTATTTTAGCCTGAGATTTGTTATGTGGAAGTGGCAGACATGTGTTTCTAATAGAACGGTACCACAAGGCATGCAACACGTCCGACTTTGGATTTGATGTAGGAGAAGTTTTCAGGAAGTGGAAGTTTTCAGTCAATGGTTTGATGATTTCAATTTGATGATTCCAATAAGATCATTCAAATGATTATGTTTATGTTTATTACCGAGTTATTGCCATCAAAAATGACCTTAAAATGATTGAGAACAGTAAAAAGTTTCGTAGAGGACATTTATGTGATGAAGTACCATATTTCGCATGTAAAGACAACGTTCAAACAAAATATTAGAATGAAAATTTAATCGAAGTGTCAATACTCAGATGGGCATTTCATATTGAATATGGTGATGAAATTATATAGGCTCAATATTACAATTTATAAAGGAAGTTGGACTTGGAAAAATACTTTAAATTCATGAAAGGCGCACATCAAATCCATTTGCCGTAGGGCAAAATTCTCATACATAATAATAATAATAATAATAATTGATCAGAGGAGTATTTTGTCCATATTTTGTCCATTAGAACTACAAAATGAATAACTCTATCATCCGTTTATTTTCAATTTATTTTATATACAATTTATTACTATTTCTATAATTTATATATATCAAAAGTGTATATTATATAGATTAAATGAATAAATTCATACAATTCAAACCAATTTAAGGCGTTGCATTTAATAATACATTTTTATTGTGCTTTCAGAAAGAAACTCCCTCAGATGTTTTATTGCATTTGGCTGCTTTACGTGGTGATGACATCACTTTGCGACGTGTTCTTGACAGTGGAAAAGTTCATGTGGATTGTAAAGATGAGGTAAGGACTTTTAAGCACCTTCTACTATTCGACAAGGGATTCTTGTAGATTCAGGTATTGCGAGTAATTTTTCGGGTAGGGGTACTAAATGTCAAAATAAATTACTTTTAGAGAGATCGTGACTTAAAGTTTGAAACTTTTCACATTACCCTAATCGAGAGAACTCGAGAAATATCGGCATATAACGTGATGAAAAAAGTTTTGTAGAAACGACGACTTTATTTAAATCATTACATTATAAAACAGCTACGTACTCGTCTTTGAAAATTTAAAATAAATACCATATTCTCATATTGTTTCTTACCTCTTCACCTCATTCAGGACTAATATCCAGACACATAGCCAAGGTAGATGGGAAAGAGTTGCCTGGATGAGCTTAAACTTCTTCCTGAAACAAATCGAAGTACATATATTTAGACGTATCTATTCAATAATAATGCATTAAGACATGATTAAATTGCTTAAATGGAACACAAAAGTGCTGTCGGTCAAGAATTTTATTTGAAACCCCTGACTAAGGTTCTGACTATATGGGCTCGCTAATATCTATTATCCCTATATAACCCTAATATGCAAAGTTCAGAGTGTTTCTGAAAAAAATGCAATCTGAAGAAAATTATTGCGGAACGATTTACTGCGGATTATCGATTTTCAATATTGATAACCCCGATGAAGATAAAATCATTGATGAAGATAATAATAAAGATGAATATGATCTGAAGATGACAAGTTTCTAAATTTTTTGTAACTATAAAACGCTGGTATAATAATAAAAAAGTGCAAGTCTCACTGTATGACTTCCTAATACGAGTAGACTCCACGACTCCACTCAAGTTAAAGCAGCTGACTGGTGCGTTTCTTGTCCAAGAATATTCACCTACAAGTAGTTGTAGTTTTGGATATAAGCATTTTTCTGAGTAGCAAAAAAAATTACAGAGGCTAGAGTGCCGGCTTTGTCAAGTTTATCTGCTTTGCAGTAATGTAGGATGTCCCTGTATTGTGATTGTGTGAAATCTTATAGTCATTCCAAAGTTGCCATGGGATTTTAATTTTCTCAAGTTGGGAGTTTCCCGATATTTCCAACTTTCCGAATTTTGCGGAAATATGTAACTGTAATTGATATGATAAGAAAATCGGATTGCTTAAGAAATGAATTGCAAATTACGAGTATCTGTATTGTGTAATAGACAAATAACCTGACTAACAAAGAGAGGAGAAGTGGAAATTAATAAAAGCCATTCAGTTGGAAAATGCATTTAAATTGCATTCGTAGTGAGTTTCTAAATTTAATAAATGACTATTATTTTTATTATTTGTGGTTGTTGTTGTTGTTGTTGGTGGTGGTTTTGTCGCTGTTGTTACTGATGCACTGTAATTATTTTGACGGTTGGTTTTGACGCTTTAAAGCAAAGCAGTGGTTCCTAACTTTTTTTTGACCAAGGACCACTGTGATATTTTTGTTTTTAGTAGGGAGCACAAAGTTTTAGAATAATAAACTGTATGATTAATTTAATGTGCTTAATGCATCTCTGCTAGAATGTATAATGAATTGTATAATGAATAAAGTACATAGGTACATTATATTTACTTGGATATTTTTTGGACATATTTTCCGAGGTCTGAGTAGACAAACTACAAGCAATGTATCCATACATTGTTAAATTTGTTCACGGACTATTTTTAACCATCTTGCGGACCACCGGTTGGGAACCACTGCTTTAGAGTCATGTATATTAGCACTTCATTTCCGAATTGGTTTACTTAAATGTTAATTTAATAAATACGAAAAGCGTTAAATAAAGCAAAAGCAAAAGCAAAAGTAAAACCAAAAGTAAAACAAAAATAAAAACAAAAGTAAAAACAAATACAATTGGAAAAAAAGTTTCACTAAAAGCGATGCGCCAGCGAAACCACAACTAACAGGTGTGCGGAGGTAGAGGAAGTGAGCTCCCAAAATTATATGTGTGTGCAGAATTTTGCATACAAATTAAATTATTTTAAGTAAAATGAAGGTAAAAAAATATTTAATTTTTATAAAAAGTAAACTAAAACGAAACTTAAAGCAAATTATTCGTGACCGGATTTCTAAAGAGCAGTAATTTTAAAATTTTAAAATTTCAAAAGTTCAAACCTCAGTCAACTTATAAATTGAAAAATAGTTATAAACCAAAATATAGTTTATAGTCGCTTTAAAAAGTAATGGAACAGATTAAGACCTAAGTAAAGAATAAAATTTAAAAGAAAATTTGTTTTTACAATCGAATTACTTTGAGAAAAAATGCAATTTGCAATCAATATTAATTTTTACACTGTCAGGCATTACAGCCGAGATAGCTTAAAAGACTAGTACGACATCGTGGCAGGTGACGAATCATAGATCTACGCCTATATGTCGGATGGAGCAAACCCAACCAAAGATGCAAGTTTTTTCAGAAAAACCGGTCATGTCGCAACTGTGTCACTTAAGTAACGCAGAGTGGTTAATTTTGAGTGGTACACAATCATTTGTGTGCTGGAAGTCTTCAGAGAATTGAGGAAAACCAATCGTCGTTAGAAGATTATCCTCCACCACGACAATGTAATCTCCAATACATCAGCTCAAACAAAAGAGTTTTTGAGCACGTAAAACTATGAACACTTAAATGGATACATACAGTTTCTACTTGGCACCTAATAATTTCTACTTGTTCCCAAACATTAAAAAAAGTGCGTGGCGAGCGTTTTTCTAAGCCCGAAAAGGTCGTTGAGACATTTGAGGCCCTGCTTTTGGAGACACCAACTTCAGAGAGTGAAAACTATTCAAAAAATTGGTTGAATCGAATGCAAAATGTATTGATCATCACGGAGAATATTTTGAAAAACAATAGAACCATATTTACTGATTAAGTACAGGATTTTTATTCGTAAGCGTAAAACTTAAAAGCCAGTAAACTATGACCGGCACGTTTTTACCGACTGTGATGTGATGATTAATGATTCAATTGAATACATAAACTACTTGCATCATCTTTGCCTCGAGTAGTACTTATGAGTATCACATAAGAAAAGTATTATAAGCCATTATAAGTATTTGCAGTTTCATGTATGAATCAGGTAGAGTTGAGTATATGAAATAGAGAGTCAGAGTAAGTAAAAGTAAAATACAGCCAATGACTCGAGTATGTCTACAGTGAGAGACAGTAGATAAATTTGAACTAATTTACGAATACAAATGTACCAGTGGAATTAGTTTTGTAAATGTTGGCTACGAATTGTTCGTTTCACAACACTTTATTTTGTGTCTAAGGTTGCAGAAATAACCGCCATCTGTTGACATCCAAATACTAAGCAAAGATCTAACATAAAATCATTTGTATTAAGTAAAGAAACATTTTCAAAGACCGTATAATGTAATACGGTCTCTGCTTATTGTTTAGAATAAAACACAATTTATAGCACGTATCTGGCATAAATCAAAAGAAATCAAATCGGGTATTTTGTTTAATTGTCTAAATTAATTAATCGTTTAATGTTTACTTAAACAGAACATTTAGCTTTATTGTTTTTCTTAATTTTATTTAATGTTAAAACCAATTACTCTGACATAAGCTTATTAGAACAGTTATGTCAAATTTAATGAAGAATTATACGGCTCCAAATATTTCGTAGTACACACTTAGTGTAAGAAAAATACATCTGGCATTTTAAATTAATCAAGTATTATATTAATGAAGAATTGAAAATAATTTGCAACAATAATTGCATGAAATTTATTGACATTAGAATTTTAATTAATGCCATTTATTGAAATAAATACCTTTTCTTGTAATAAATACTATTTATTGGAATAAATACAACTTATTGGAATAAATACTATTTATTGGAATAAATACTATTTCTTGGAATAAATACTGTTTATTCGAATAAATACTATTTATTATTAATTAATTATTTATTATTAATGGAATAAATACCACTAATTGCAATTAAGGGTGCAGTTTGAACGAACGACGAAATCCACACTTTTGTGTTCGACATTTCAGTATGCATCGCAAAACTGGTCCTCCATAAGTTATATATTTGATTTTTCTTGAACAAAAATTAAGTAAAATTAAAAGTGTGGACATTGTGGGCAAATAACTTAAACAAACCAAAAGTTACATTTGAAAGCAATTAGGAAGAGTTGTACAGAAAGATCAAATGGATCCTTGAAGGAAGAAGACCTATCAATAAGCTTAGATGACTTTCCGTGGCGAAACTCATAACACTAAAAATTTAATCATTTAACAAATCTATATATAAACGTTATATACCCTCAGGAAAATGCTCTAAAACCTATTAATATTAACGGTATAACATAAGTACTTAAAAAGAAACATCGTTAGTAAAAATGTTACCATAAATAAATGATCGTTAACTTGCTAAATAACGAAGTTAATACATTTGACTCGAGTGACTATTGGTTATCGTATACGAAACATTGTATGATGACTAATTAGTTCTCTTTCTGGTTCAGTTATAAAGATAAAAAAAAGCTGGTTTGCAACCCGAAATTTGCAAAGAAAAATCTTTGCTAGTGTTGGGGTAAACAATCTACTGTGACTGCCTTGAAGGATCACGAAGTATATGTGTGTATTGATTTTATAAAAAAAATATTTTAAATATGTACGTGTAAGTTTATTTTCTTAAAAACAACGGCATTTTAAAGACGTACATATTTATTTTCATGAAAAAAAAAAACGTATTTAATATACTTACATAGACCTCTTCAACAAGAGAGATGAAAATTAAGAACCATAAGGAAGTAGACTTATCAATTTCTATTATTTTGAAAAAAATTACATTTTATATAATTCACGTTATTATATATATATTTTAAGGATGGTACGACACCACTGATACTTTCTTCTGCTGGAGGCCATACGCCTTGTGTATTAGAATTACTTGAGCAAGGCGCTGATGCGAATTCAAGACGTACTACTGGCACAACACCATTATTCTTTGCAGCTCAAGGCGGCTACTTGGACGTTATAAAAATTTTAGTAAAGGCAGGCGCAAGTGTGGACACACCATCTGTGGTAAGCTACATAACGATATGATTTTTGAATTATATGATAATATAATTTTTTTGTTGTATAAAATTCACAGGACGGTGGCACACCATTATTTGTAGCAGCTCAAGGCGGTCATGTGAAACTTGTAAAGGAACTTTTGGATTGTGGTGCCAATGTAAATGCTTGTATGAAAGTATGTAGATATGTAGAGAAAGTCGACCATTTAGATAATATTGTAGTTTCATGCAAATATTGTTTTAAGGATCGAGCAACATCAGTTTTTATTGCCGCACAAAATGGACACCGCACGGTATTGTCATTGTTACTAACAGCTGGAGCACATGCCGATATGAAGCGCATCGATGGAGCAACTCCACTTTGGATTGCAGCACAAATGGGTCATGATCATATATGCAAGGTGTTATTGCAAAATGGTGCAAATATAGATGCAGTACGATGTGATGGAGCAACACCTCTATTTAAGGCTGCACATAAAGGGCATGCGGCCGTTATTACAGAACTACTGAAACATCGTCCAAATTTAGGTTTATTACCAGTAAATTTAATGAAATTATATATGAGACATGATTTGTTAAATATATTACTTATATTTATAGAACGGCGAAACAGCATTACATGCTGCTGCCATGTTTGGACATCTCACTGTGTGTAAGCAACTTATAGCCGCCGGTAGTGATATACTTCAAAAGAATCAGGATGGCTTTACTGCATTACAGGTAGCAAGGCAACAAAAATATACCTCAATATGTGAATATCTGCAGGATCGATTGCGAATTATCTTAGCACGCACCGCAGAGGCTAAGTCGTAGAGTTACACTATCAGTTAATAAGAATAGATAATAAATACAGAAAGAGAGAGTGAGAGAGAGAGAGAGAGAGAGAGAGAGAGAGAAAGAAAGAGTGAGAGAGAGGGAGAGTGAGAGAAAGAGAGATGCATGCAATGGAGAACAATCGTTCATATACAATAAATACTAAAAGGTCAGATAAAGCACAATTTATTATTAAAACGTCCCTAAAAGCAACATAAAGGCTGCACGCGAATGAATTTCGAGTCCTAGCTTCTTATATTTAAATTAAATACAAGTCCAAAATATTAGCTTAACTCCAATTCTAATTCGAATATATTACATATAAATACATCCGAGTATATATATATATATTTTGAAATATCTTTTTATTGACTTATTTTAAAATAGTAATGCATATAAGCAAATCGTAAGAGCTAAGAGCTGCGATGAGTATATAAAATCAAATTTAATAAAATTAAATTTTTTTCCCTTTAATTCCTAAACTTAAAATTGTAAATAAAAAAGAAACATTGTTATTTCCTTTTATAATATACATATATACACATGCATATATAAATATGTACTTCCACAATATTTATATATCGATGTATATATAGTATATAGTTAACATTTATGCAATTGTTGATTGATACAATATTTATATATTATCGTACTTTTTATACCTTAGTAAAATTTATAACTATTGTATAAATATATAAAAATATTGTGATTCAAGTTAAATAAATATATAGCAAATGTATATCCTAGGTTTGACCTGAAATCTAAATCAAATAACTAAGTCTTTAATAAATAAATATCATATTTTGGAAAAAGATTTTATGATTTTCATATAAAATATAGAGAATAAAAATGAGAATGAAAAAGGGTGAGTTCGTAAGAAGATTGAAATGAATTTACAGGGTTGTTGAGCATTGCAACTGCCATGCTTACTGCAACTATTTATTTCTTATTAGAAAAAACTTTACGAGAAACAGGCGACTTAAGGAATCTATGTACCTATGTGAATTAAGCTATCAATGAAGAGCGTCTCCTAAGATAATCTGAATAAATAATGGCTACATAATAATCTAACAACATTTCTTGGTTTGAGATCGTACACCTCATTCAGTTAAATGAACTCCATTAGGTGATACAAAGGGCATAAAAGGTAAGCAAAAGTTCTACTACGGGCATTGATTTCCACTTAAACTAATACTACTTTTGATTGCGTGGTTAAATTTCTACAGCGAAAATATTGAGAATATTATAGCAAACTCCCGTCGTCCAGATTTGGTCCCAAAAAATACAAGAAAAATAAACAATTAAAACAGGGTTAGGAAAGATTGAAGGTAAAAAATGACGATGATGAAGAATACGTCAATCAAGTCCAAGACTTGGTACTTAAAAATCGTTGATGGAAAATTACAGACTTTAGTGATACTGGCAACATTTCATTTGTCTTTGATAATGGTTACTTAAAATTTTAAAAAATGTTTTATGTGTCAAAAAAGTGAAATCTAGCTTGGCTCCAAAAATACTCAATTTTTTCAGCAAAGAGTGTCGCATTGAAGTTTGTCAAACAATGTTTTCTGACTACCAGGATAAGATGAAATACATTATGGCTTGAGGTATGACTTGGATCTTGACATACCACTCGGAAATAAATGACTCATCGAGCGAAAATTGTGCGAAAGGTGAGTCAAAATCGCGCTACGGTATATAAAAACTAAAATCATGTCAACAGTTTTTTTACAATGATCGTGTTAAGGTACATTATGAATACTTACCGGCGAGTCAAATCACAAAAATCAAATTAAGACGGTCAAAAGTAATGTTGCATTCTCAAGATAAATTATTTGGAATTCATTAAATATTTCCAGACTCTTAACGTTATTCCGAAATCCATAAAAAATTCAAACCGAATCTATTGCTGCAATGGACGGTAGAATTCGTACCAATTCATTGTTGAATGAGTTATGCGTCCTCTTATTAGGATGAATTATGTTGAGTGCTTGCTGTGAAATTTTAAATTATATGTCATAATACTATGCCAAGTCAAGTGGTATTTTTTATCAAAAATTTTTTCCATCCTGCCAACTAAGCGAATTATTGTTAGTCCCTCCATATGACTACGTTCTTGCATATTCCATATTTTAAAAGTATCGCGAATGGCTCTTGTGGCACCGTTTCACATCTCAAGTTTGGGGTTAATAACTCTACAGAGTCTTAAGAAAACTGCTTTCATATGTTTTTAAGTTATAGAGAATATATATTTCTTAGCTTATTTTTATTTAAATGCTAAAAACTTTTTTTTATTATCCAAATTATCCCAATTAATACACAATTGAAGTATTCTTAATCAAAGTATAGAAGAAATCTTAACATATTTTACGATGAGACAATTTAGTTAAGTCGCACTTTGGATGAGACTTGGATTCTGCTATGTCTCAAAATTAAACTTATGGTAGAGGCTATGGTTTCGCGTGAACCCAGAAAAGGTTTTGAGAAATTACATTCAAAACAGTAAAACAATAAACTTAGATTAATATTAGAAAATTACGACAAATGGATTTAGAAATTCTTAAGTAAGGCCTGGTTTAGAAAAGAAAAAAATAGTTTTCCATCAAGATTAGTTTTCCTGCTAATTTAATTAAAAGGTGTGGAATCTACCATATATTGTTCTATATATTGTTCTATCTATATTGTGTTGAAGAATTTCGATTTGATACCCAATATTTGTATTCCATTATTGAGTAATGAAAGACTAGCACAAACTTTTTTGTGTTGCGATAATATTTCGAAGGTAAATAGTCAGCCTAAAATAGATAAGCCAACCTTAATAAAGTCAGTACTTCAGTTACTTTTTATCAATTAATTAATCTTAATTTTGTCACGATAGCAAACGAAATCGATCATGTGAAAATTATGTACGGAAAATATACCAATAATAGTAAAATTATTACAAGAATTTATTTTATTCGGGTTAAGGTCACTGAATTTCAAATAAAAGCGATTACGAGAGAAACTCTATATATATACATATAGATATATATATAAACATAAACATTTTCATATGTTTGTTAGGTAGAATTAATTTATAATACATACATTATGTTTACATATCGCTTGAAACTATTACCAATTTAACAATTTCATTAATATGTTATTCTATTTAAATTTTGAAATATATATTAATATATTGATGTTAATTTTAATTGATTTGTTAATTAATTAAGTTAAGTCAGTTTTGTGAAGGTTGTGATGACACTTAGTATTATGACGATCACTCTGGAACGCTTACAATGAATGAATATCACTTGCAATCTACACAACATCAGGAAAGTTAAGGAAATATCCTTATATTGATCACTGTGAAGTGTGATCACTGTGTGACTTGTTGGGACACCAAAAAGCGTAGTCTTTCGAATTTTGTACAAAGATTTAAGCCACTAAAAGGTTTATATGCCCTTCATACTATAAACCATGACGGCAACCTTATTGTTATAGGTAATACTAAACTCTCTTAGTAGTATTATAATACACGTAAATTTAGTCTGTAAGAAGCTGTTTAATAAAGAACACCATAATTATAAAAACTGTCTCACAGATTTAAAGAGATATATGTCAATGGTATAGGTTTCATCCCACATTTTCTGGCCGGAGCAACAGTTTGTTAATCACAAAGTAATGGATAACTACTTCCTCCTTAGTGTGAACTCTTATTCAGCACTTATTCATTCGGTCAACAGCTCTTAAATAGGGTTGTGTAGGTCAGATAATTGCGCTGCGACAGTTTTTTATTCTGATGGGTTCTTACCATCGCATCTTCTAAACTGCGGAATGTCCTATGTCACATTTTATGTGCACATCAAAGATTCGTTCCAAGATGAACTGATGGGTTAAAAATAATTTGGTGTATACTGAGATCATTTTCATGGTTCTCCAAATTTTTGGTATATATAATAGCATTAGATATTGTGACTAATCACCAGTGGCTTTCAGTGAATGAAAAAGGCTGTTAGTGATAATTTTGCCATTAGCCATTTTTTTTTGTCCACCCCTGCGTAGTGGATATAAAAAGATGTAAGAAGTTCGTTGCACGTTGAAAGGTTTTGTTTGTCTGTTTACTACCTTTTCTAACTCAGAAACTGATTCTACCAGTTTATTTGATAAATCAGGATGGCGGTTTTATACCTTGTCTTGCTGTTCAGAGAGAAGACATCGTACTAATACACAAACAATTAGATTTCAAATAACAAAATCTGCGGATTAAAAAACAATAACTGCAAAGTAAGTCCATGTATTTCAGTAAGAATCATTTTCAATGCAATTTTCATCCTATTGAATAGTGATGAAGATACCGCGGCAATAAGAATAGAACTCAATGGCGTCCTATAACTCAGAAATCGATTTTACCTTATTATGTCGTAAAACAGAAAAATGATTTTTCAGTGTCAAAATATGTATTTATCCCAATTTACTCTTCGCTTATTTTGAGAAGAACGATTTGTTTTCTTTAGAGTAGGTTTAAAGTGTATTATTCGCAATTTATTCTTCGCTTATTTAGACACTTACGAATTTGGTATATTGACGATGGAAAAGAGTCATCCAACAAGAGTTATCCAACATTATCCAAATGGGCGCGTTGAGACGATATTTAAGACTAAATATTGATTCGATGGCATCTGAATATGACAACTTGAGGTTACCACGCCGATATAGTTTGCTTCTTCAGATAAAGAACTTTAAAGTTGTGGGCTTCTACATGGATTATACCAACAAAAACTACAAATTCACTCCAGTGGCAACTAGTACATGCGAACGTTTTATTGATTCCAAGAGTCCTACAAGTACATGAGCTGATGTGTTAGTGTTTTATAAAGAAATATTTGTTACTTGAAAGCCCGAAAATATACCGAGAACCAAACTATATTGGCAGATAACGTAATGAGAAAAGTTGCTAATATTGATATTGATATATAAAAATATCTATATAAATTACAACCTTATAACCTGCCGGTTAGACCTATGTGTTACATTCATCCAATGTGTTTAAATTATTTTCGATTGGATAACTATAATTTTACTTTCAGATTCTTAAAATAAAAAGTTTTTTAAAAACAATTTATAATGATTAAGGATTTATTTGCAATAAAGCTTTACAGTTTACATTCAATTTTGGGAAATAAAAATGGGTAATGAAAATTGTTGTCCAGGTGACAGGAATTTCAATTATTCGCCAAATTAAATTCAGATATTGGATACGATTTTATAAAATACTTATATCATATCACGTTTTATTTTCCGAAAGAAAATAATTTGTTCAGATTTAAAATTAATACTATAATTTTTTATGAAATTTTGATCTTCTTGGTCCTTCGGTACTTGTTGCAATTGGTTGCTTTCCGATTTCTAGTCTTTTGAATATTTATATATTCAATTTCACCCGTATAACACTGGCTCTCAGGGTCTAACAAAACTTTTATTTTTGCTGTAGTT